TTGAGAGCATCCCAAGGGCATTGATCCTATGCTAAACCTTCCAGTACACCAACTTTCTAATACCATAAAAACGACAACTAGCCGTTGGCACGAATGTAATGCTTCAGCTTCCTACAACTTTAAAGCTGTGTGGACGTGGCTCTATGAAGAGTCGTTCATATTTTCTCATTATTTCATAAGTTTAGAAGGGGTAACTTGTTAATTTTACCTCGAGCCAAACTTGTGCGACTTGTTTCTGAAATCCCTTTCTCTTAAAGTGAATACATAAAATAAAAAAACAGTGGAGCTTACCCTAAAACTAACCACTGGATAGGGTTAACCCTAGCCCATATATATTTTTGTATTATTTAAAAAAAATATATATATCATATAGCACCAAATTGCAACTCATTTATATCTACGGTCACTTTTCACATTGAACATGAGCTCTTTTATTAAATAAACTAAACGCTTTCATTTTAAGTTGAGTTTAGTGTTTTTGACCCTAAGAAACACTGATGCATTAATCAATAACAATAATCCACAGCTCCTCTCTCTGCTCCAGAGGATTTAAAGAATATATTAGGGATCGACCGATATGGCTTTTTCAAGGCCGATACCGATACCAATTATTAGTAATCAAGGAGACCGATAACCGATATTTGGAACCGATATACATTTGCAGTAAAAAAAAAAATCTTGGTGTCAAAATGTCGAATAACACAAACTCCAACACAACTTATTTGAAATGCATTTAAGCATAGCCTATATTATGTTTAATTAACTTTTAAACATCTTACAACTGGTTTCCTCTCTGTGCCCTTTTCTTTAGTGCAGCCATCTGCAATGAGTTAGAGAGAGAGACAAGAAGTGGGGCTGCAGGCTGACATGCTTAACTAACAATAATGCTTAATTTATTATATCTGTCTATCTAGCATAAAATCCCAATAAACTGCTAGCAACTGCAAAACACTAGTGCTAGCTAATGTTTTGCAAACTATTAAAAGTGAGGCTATCACAGTAGACCTAACGTTAGTCTAGTAGCCTCACTTCTAATATTTTGCTAAACATTTGCTAGATACATGTTGGCTAGCTAATGAGCTTCACATATCAACCTGAAAAACTGCAAGGCTCCACTCTCAGCCCCTCCCCCCCCCGCACCAGTTACTCCGCTGCGAGACACTGCACGCACCCCCAACTCTGACTGACTTCCCGCGTCCCTGTGTAACTGGGAAACTGATAGAATTGGATCATAAGATCGTGGTGTTTTTGCAACTTCAGCATAGGGGATTGGGATGTTTATTGAACTTTGGTTTAACACATGTATGGCTCTGCCGCTCAGCGCTGCTGCTTGCTTCAGTCTGTGTCTGCGTTCTTTCGCACCTGCCTGTAATCTGAGAAGGTCCCGCCTCTCTGGCTGTCTCCCGCCCGGAAAATCTTCAGTAATAGCCTATCAGATAGCGCTGTGGGCGGGACATTGCTCGTGTACACAGAGTGGTGACTGCAGCCAGAGAAACGGCCGCATCAGAGCCAAAGTTTTATCGGCAATTTGATAAAAAAAAGGCCGATACCGATAATCGGTCAAATGCGGAATATCGGCCCCGATAATCGAGCCCTAGAATATATCAGCAGTAAACCTAGGGGAAACACTGACATTCAATATTATGTTAGAGACAAGTTAGTTATTACTCACATATCAAAGTATTTTCATCTGCAAGATGGACAAATAGCTGGGTGCTGCCTGGAGAGACTGATGAGGAGTCACCGGCTGGCTTCTGCCCCTTTCCACACAAAGCCATCACATGTTCTGTTCCATAGTCTTCACTGTCCACTGGTGCTCTGTCAAAAGAGTGAACATCACAGCTGTCATGGTAACCCTTTGTTACACAACATACAACCAACATGCATCAAAAGTGACCCAAATTAGTTTAAATTGTAACCTCAATTAACCTGTTTTGATCAACACCAATTCTAATTTTCATTTGAACTTTCTTACTTTTTTAAATAAAAATCATGTTTGTATCACTACACTTCTAAGGCACAACATGGGTAAAAAATTATCCGTATTATTTCCTATGTTATTCCTAGTGTTTCTTTAAATACATTGTTTTTGATTACCACAAATCATTATTTTAATTCTCCAGTTCTAATTGATTAACTAAAATAGTTTATGCCAAGTGTGATACAAATGCAAAAAAATAAAGATACTTTAATGATAATTTTGTTAAAAATAATAATTTTAGCAGAGATTTGGACCAAGCATGTATGATGTAGTAATACAACAACTATTTTAGTTCACAGTGTGACATTAGCTAGTCATGTTAGCTTGTAATATATAGAGCAGAGCTAACTAGCAAGTTAGCCAAACGTTAGTGGTTAGCAGTTTATGCTATGATAGCTGTTGGCTACTGAACATTAACAAACTGGATTCCGCAGTAAAAAAGCTGTGAAACTTTACAATAAGATTGGCGACAACACTGTGACACCCTGCTGCACGTTTATGTGTAATCGTCCCGCGTTGGAGACGAGGATGGCGGCAGCACTGCAATAAGCTGTAAGCTAACGTTAGCAGCCACCTTGTTAACCTGTATAGCCCGATTGTCCCGCCGGTGGGACATCTTGCAAGAAACAGCATCTCAGGACTTCTTAAAATGTACTAACAACCTATTAATGATGCTTACCCACTTAACGGGAAGAAACTCAGCTAACTGACGATATTAACCATTTTTAACTAAACGAAACACAAGTCTAACAGCTAACAGGGCTAACGCTACTTTAGCACATAACTGGCAAAAGCGATCTTTTTTACTTCATGCTATCTGCACAAACGTATCATATGAAAGCTGAGATTCCACAGATTCCCTTAAAATATATGTCTCATCACTCAAAACTCACTGAACTAGAAGAAGAAACGTAACCTTAAATACACAATTAAACATTCACAAACTAAGGATTATCTAAATACATGTTTAACTCCATTACAGTTGCAGGACTCACCAGATCTCAAGTCTTCTGTTCTCTGTGGACGTCCCGATGCTCATATTTAAGGTGTAGATGTAAAACTATCCCGATATTAGTCCATAAACTCGTGAGCAGACATACAGACAGCTCTGTAGCTCCGCAGGAGAGCCGCTCAAACTGACGTGGAAGTTTCAAATTGGATTGAAAGGCGCGGACAGTGCTCATTGGCAGGTTTTTTCGATGACGTTTATATCAACCAATCAGGAATGTTGTGGACTCATTCCAATCCTGCTTGTCTTGTCTGCCGTTGTATGGCTGGATTCCATTTTAAGTGCCGTAGCTTTTTACATACATTTTACGTTTTTTTTATTTGACACTTTTTTTTTACAGTTAACTATTTTAGTATACTATGAAAACTACTTTATTTACACCAAATCATTTTTGGGTATTTCTGCAATATATTACATTTTTACATACATACATTTATTTAACATTTTAGAGATGCTTTATAATAAGATTTATTTTTATTCTACAACAGTACAGATTAGTTTTTTTTGTTTTTTTTACATTTTGTTACATTAAATTGAAGGTTTTACTGCAAAAAAAAGAAAGAAAGTTGCCTTCATTTTACATGCAGTAAAATTATGTGTATTTTATGTGTTTTTACATAGAATTCAATGTAATTTAACATTCAAGACAATTAAACAATGGAATTATCCTGTAAAAAAACGATAATTTCTCATCAAACCAATTTACAGAATAAAACCTTTATTTATTTTAAATAAAAGTAATTTACTGTATTTTTATGGTATTTACACGTAATATAGAAAAACAAGAAAGGTCTGTAAAATAATACAGTACATTTCTGTGAAAAAACTTCTTTTTTTTACAGTGTACCTTATGCGATAATACAAATATTTCACTACATCACAGTTGTGCGTCCCACTAACATTCAATTGTTGAGTCATCCCATTAATATATTTCATACTTAGGTTCAAGTTGTTGGGGTTTTCTCAAGATAAGTTACCCTTTCTTTTTATTTGAAGTAGCATGTCCTTTTATCCTTTAGTTTTCTTTTCATCCATGCTTGAGCTACTGCCTCTTATGTCCTTCTTTAACACTGCCACTATCCAATTCCCAAGGTCAGAACATTTTTAGCAAATTATACTTTTGAAAAGTATGTCCCAGCGTCCCCAGCCTAAATGACGCTCATTTGACCTAGCTGGACCATGACTAATATTTGGTCTAAGCATCAGTGAGTCTAAATATTTCACAAAATGAACTGTGATTAATGTCCAAACAAAGGATCTTTAATATTTTATTGGCAAGAATTGTGTTTTCCCCCCCTTTTTTCATAGAATGAGTCACGGCACACCAGGTTGCACAGTCTGTACCTCATTATCAGAGAGGATAGATATAGTTGCACAGGAAACAACCATAATAATATGCAATCCAAAACATCTGAACTGCAAATCTGCAAGTCTGGAGAAGCATTTGGGATATGCATGTTTCATATTTTTAAATCAGCTTTAAACCCAGATTTCAGTGTCTTTCAACACTCACAATATCTAGGCTAGAGCCCACCTGAATATTCATGAGTCACTGAGTACAACAACTGCTGCCCATTCAAACATTTCCATAAATTGCCTGAAATGATCATCTACATTTCAGAATAGAGAAATATAGACAGCACTAATCAAAGCCAGAAATTCATTGAAAATGGTACAAAATGTTCCCATTTGTAACTCCTGGCTTTAATGGAGATACATCAACAGTTACAGTTTCACAGAACATAATGATCCACATGATACAGGCTGAAGAGAAACTGCTGCAGCCAAAGCACTGTTTTTGTAGGCATTGGTCATAGTAAGAATTTGGGATATTTTACCTCCCTATCACATCTATGCATATTTATAATGTGCTTGAAGTGCCTTGTCTGTGCAGGAAATGATATGGACACTGTTCTAAATGATATACTACTTTACAGCATTCTGAAAGGTTGACTGAGCTGAGTTCTTGTTTATTCCTGCATTCTGATTGGCTTATGTGTTTTCCTCCAGGCTCCCTCACATGGTGCCAAACCACATCCAGGAGCAGTACAACCCCCCGCCCTTCAACTACTCTGACCCCGCCCTGCACTACATAACCCACTGCAGCCCCCGGATCCTGGACAACTACACACCCAGGCAACGCTACAGATAACACACACCTAAACCACACACACACAGACATAACTGCAAATCACAAACTTACAAACAAAGCACTTTGAGAGCCAATGCTTTATAAAGACAAGCCGAATGACTCTTATTTATATGGTAACAAACAAATAATTAAGCCTGAGTGACTTTTAAAGTCCATTATTTCCATCCTCTCTGCTGAGCAATGGACCTGCCAAGTTGGAGCAGGACGTTTTTCTTTCTGCCAGGACGACAGTTTACGATCCGAGTCTGACCCAGCAACAATCTCTTGGCTGGAGACAGTGATGAAAAAGTAAACCACTGCAGTGCAGCTGATAGTAGGCCAACAGCCTCCATTATAGCAACATTAGCATCCGCCAGAAAGCCTAGCATCAGGCTCCTCCTGCCATCTGTTCATAATTAAGTTAAGTTCATTGTGGTTCCAGTCCCAAAAAGTACAGTAAGCCTTCTTTATTTGCATCACTGATAATCACCCGAACATAGTTGATTCAATTTTGATTTAATTTTTATAGAGAGAAGGTGACACGTTTTTTTTATAAAAGCATTCGTCCCACTTAGGGATAACACTCTAAATATTGTTCACCGCTGGATTGTGTCCCAGTTCATTATACACACCAGAGTAATTCAGTGCAGCTGTCTTTTGTAAAGCTGGACTATCACTGCAAGTTAAAAAAATATGTGTGAATATAATGTCAACCATTAAAAGCGCCAATTTGAAGTGATACCAAAAAATTAAACAAATATTTTCCCTATTAACTGGAGAGCTATTAATTCATCTAGATTGGTTTGGTTTGAGTTGCCAAGTGTTTGGCTGTAGTAATATATGCCTTCACTTAAAATAAAAGAACTACATTGCACTCTGCTTGTGGTGCTGAAAAAATATATTTGAAAAACTCAACAGAAATGTGTCTTACCAGAAATCCTGACCCTTCAGTTTCTGGAGGAATTATTGTCTTAATGACCGCGCAGAAGGAAGAGTGCATCTACTCTGCTGTCCTTAGTGAAAAGGGGAAAAGAAAATAGTTTGTTGGCACTTTTATCTCCGGAAGCACAGTGCTATCAAATTCAAATAGCTTTATTGGCATGACCATAATGACATACAACATTGCCAAAGCTATACAATCACAATATCTATACATGAATATACATTTGGAATGTATTGTTATGTTCATATACATTTTGAACAGAATCAAGAATTACGTGTTTTCTTCACAAGGAAAACAATATGCTTTTTGGAACATGAAGTCGATGAATAAATCAATTGAATTATTGATTATTGTGCTGGAGGATAATGCTGATAATAAATTATGATAACTTGATGTAATACATTAATAAGAAAGAAAAAAAGCAGTAAAAAAGGAGAAAATAATGATAGAAATGAAAAAGATGTGAGACCTGGTGTGGATGTAGCAGGCAGGCTAATTCTCTCATGCTGTAGTTATATTATATTTAAGATAAGGTAGACATCTCTACAGCTTTTATTTCCAACATTTGGCAACTCACACCAGAACAATCTAGATTGATAAACAGATAAGAAAAAAATCATAATTTCTTTATTCCGGGGTTAGTCGGCAGAGCAGAGGCTGTGCCAAGAAGCAACAGATATCTGACTGCCTGTAGTCAGTAGAAAAAAGCTCTAACAAGAAACTGTTCTAAGATTGAGCCTCCAGGGAAAAGATCATTGTTGAGATTTTCCGGGATCTCTCTTCAATGGAAAAGCTGACATACTAATTTAGAAAATGCCTACGAGTTACTGAACTGTTATCGATCAACTGAGATTGTACACGTCTGAACGGCCCCTGACTTCTGTTTTCGTCGTATATGTTCAAAGTTATGTATCGTTTGGGCTGGTTTGTATGGATGTTGTCATGTTCAGTCCAGAGCTGAAACGTAAAAACAATTAAAATAATGAAAATAAGTGACGCTTTTCAAACACTGAAGCATAAAAGAGATTTGTTCTTTTGTTTTTATTGACAATCAGGAGAACATTTATCAATCTATACAGTCGAATAAACTTCAATAAGAGCATCGAAATTGAAGTTTACTTGCCAAGGTTTTAAATAAAAAATTAGTTTTTTATTTATTCACGGCTGGAAGAAGTTCTCGGCCTCATGACGTAAGTAAACGTTAGAATCCGACTGTGTAAAAATACTTAATTACAAGTTATGTTAGGAATTTAAATGCATGATAATGCGTCATATATATATTTTAAAATAACTATTGCAATCAAAGTAAAATAACAAATGTAAAGCAGTTAAAATAACAAGACTTGAAGTAGTGGAACAAAGTACTCATGCTTTAATGATTAAAAGTAAGTAATACATGCGAATGTATTTTAAAATATGCATCCTACCAGGGGCGGCGCCAGGATTGCCAAAGCACCCCATAAGCACCCCCAAGAAATATATATATTATTTTTTTCCGAAAATAATTATTATTATTTTTATTAAATTAAATCAGAAAAAATATTGATTACATCAATGCAAATGTGAAACAAACAAATGTTTGACCAAAAACATAAAGCCAACACAGGTGATATGATTAGGCCAATGGCCAGCAACCATTACATTTTTGACCTACTCATAGGCTAAATTACTTTGTGACACTTGAGTGACTTCCTGTTAGCTGGAGCCCCAAATTATTTGCTAACAGCAAAGTGACAAATGGATCGTTTTTTAGTCCTTAAACGTCCACGTGTGGACACTCAATAAAAACGAACTGAAAGCGAGAGGGATTGTGCACATAATAGGCCTCGTGAGTACAAGTAGCTTACTTCTGGGTCTCTGTGTTTCATTCAAGCTCTGCTCTGTGTGTGTGTGGCACGAGCCATTTTGTGTGCGTGCGCAAGCGAGCGAGAGAGAGCTCGCGCACCGGTGGGTATCTACCGGAGATCGTTGTGGTTAGCATCTGGTGCTAGCTAGCCAAGCTAACGGATATAAGGAGCTTTTACGACAACAAGGTGGAGGGAGAACTCTCTCCTGTCAGACGGAGAGTCTCAGATAACCTCAGCTCAGGTGAAGTAAAGGACTCTCAGTGTTTAGATAGTTAACTGTAGTCTAGTTATCTCAGTGGGTCTCAAACGGTTTGTTTTAAAAGGGGAGTGATATATTTATATATCTATAAAGAAATAGAAAATCTGTTTACAGTTCTGTTTCATATGTAGGCCTATGTTGAGAGATGTATCCATAGATCTCATAATTTTGCTCTCAAAATGCACCAGATTGATGCTTTTAACTTCAATATTTAAAAAAAAATCTTCCCGGGACCCCACTAGAGGAGGTGAGGACCCTCCTAGACAGTGGCGTTTTTATATGTACAAAAGTGGTGGGGCACAAAAAACTTAGATGTCTATATATAAGCTTCTGCAGTGAGGTTCATGGCTGGTGAGGCACTGGCACTGACTCTTCAGGTTTACAAATATTATATTTTGACCTAAATCAAAATATTATATTATTTTCAAAAGATTTTTTTGTCTGATGCTTCAATTAATTTTAAACAGACAGTTCAACAGAAGGATACCCACAAAATGTAATTTTATCATTTAAATATTGAATTGTTCTCTCTTAGTAAGATCCCATTTTCAATAAAATTGCAGTCTTACCTTGACTTGAAGATTAAGTCCATTTGCCTATCCTTCTGGACAAAAATCTCTATTACTTTTTTGTAAAAGTCCTCCTTATGTTCTTGTAGTTTCAAAAGTCTATCATAAATCTAATCTAATCAATAGATTTATGATTCGAAAATTATAAAAGTAGGGTAGACATGTGGATATTATCCGGCTGAACAAAACGTGCATTTATCTAACAGGTTTGTTTCCCACAGATCTTATTTGGAGCTATTTTCTAAAATCCTATGGAGAAATCTCATTGCTTTTTTGTCGAGGGAAGCCATGCGCAGCTTACTTCCGGGTTTTAGGACGCGTCACTGCAGCTCTCTCGTCTCCTCTTCACACACCACACTTTTCGCGGCACACGTACTTACAGCCAATCAGCTATGAATTATGTGAGATGACGTATGGTGGGGATGGCAGCTCTATGCCCCTATGGTCATTATTTGTTTGCCACACACATTAAATAGGAAAATATTCTGAGCATGCGCAGTGTAGTTTTTACAGTCACCGTTCACTTAGACAGAGAGAGGGAGGGGCAGGATCGGGTTTTGTCCCACATGGCTCTAAACAGCACAATAGGCACACACTGTAGACACTAATTAGAAGAACACAGACTAAAACAGCAATGTACAGACGAATCAGATGATTAAACATGATCTTAAAATATATTTAATATATATTTTTTTGCATTTTTTTGTAATCATTATTTTTAATACTTTCTGCTGACACTAGGTGGGGCTGTGCCCCACCTGCCCCTAATGACCAGTCGCCACTGCTCCTAGAGGAGGTGAGGTCCACTCCCCACTTGTAAAAATAGCACTTTACCCCTGCTTACACCTGTATGCCGTGAGCTGATTACCGAGCATTCATTGTAACAGCGGGTACACTGTGTGTGCGTGTGGGGAGTGTTGCAGTAGAAAATTCAACTGTAGCGCTGGTACATTAATGGGAAACCCTTACGGCCCGTCCACACTACAGCTTCAAAAAAAGCTTGGAGCTGGGCGTGTCTGAAGCTCGACCAACAACCAATCACATGAATCTCATGAATATGATTTGATTAGCTGACGCTTCCACCGAAAGCTTCAGAAGCTTCAAAAGTTGAACATTGCTCAACTTTTGCAGCCTAACACTACAGTCTACACTACAGGCATCAAAAGATCTTGAAGCTGGGCGTGTCTGAGGCCTGGCGATTTCTCGCGCCCAAAGCGACCAACAACCAATCAGGAATCTCCCGCCCGCCCCCGGCATACAAAGCAATAGCAATGTTAAAATGAAGTAAACTGGATATAAAATCCCCAAACAGGCGAAAACCTACCAGTTTCATCCACTGTCTCTGCCACCTCCCTCCATGCCTCGCTCCTCCGGTTTGTATCCCGGTAGATGAACAGAGACTAATCATACAGCACCGGGTGATTCACTACCGTTATAATGAATTTTCCCTCCATTTTTTTGGATATGAGGAAATGACCAGCGTAGTCTCTCCCAGCATACACGCGGTTTGATTGGCTAGCGCTTGTACTGTCAGATTTGCATACGCGGGATTTGATTGGCTGATGCCAAGCATCGAGCCTCAAAAGTTGAACATTGTTCAACTTTTGATGCCGATAGATTACATTACATTACATTGCATTTAGCTGACGCTTTTATCCAAAGCGACTTACAATAAGTACATTCGACCAGGAAGACACAACCTTGAAGAAAACAGAATCATATAAGTACATCAGGTTTCATAGAGCCAAACATTTCAAGTGCTACTCAACTGGCTTTAGATAAGCCAGTCCTTTATTAGTATATAAGTGCTTTGTTAATAATTATATCGCTCGAAGTGGAGTCGAAAGAGATGAGTTTTCAGTTTGCGCCAGAAGATGTGCAAGCTATCTGCTGTCCTGATGTCAATGGGGAGCTCATTCCACCATCTTGGAGCCAGGATAGCAAACCCACGTGTTTTTGCTGATGGGAACTTGGGTCCCCCTCGCAGCGAGGGTGCAGCGAGTCGTTTGGCTGATGCAGAGCGTAGTGCACGCGCTGGGGTGTACGGTTTAACCATGTCCTGGATGTACGAAGGGCCAGATCCATTCGCAGCATGGTAAGCAAGTACCAGTGTCTTGAAGTGGATTCAAGCAGTTACCGGAAGCCAGTGAAGGGAGCGGAGGAGCGGAGTGGTGTGGGAAAATTTAGGAAGGTTGAAGACCAGACGAGCCGCTGCATTCTGGGTGAGCTGCAGAGGTCGGATGACACATGCAGGTAGACCAGCCAGGAGGGAGTTGCAGTAGTCTAGGCGTGAGATGACGAGAGCCTCGACCAGAACCTGCGTCGCTTTCTGTGTCAGCTGGGGACGTATCTTCCTGATGTTGTAAAGCGTGTATCTGCAGCAATGGGTTGTAGCAGCGATGTTTGCAGTGAAGGACAGGTTGTTATCTAGGGTCACACCCAGATTCCTTGCAGTCTGGGTCGGGGAAACAACTGAGGTGCCGATGTTGATTGTTAGGTCAAGAGTGGGACAATCTTTTCCCGGAAGGAAAAGCAGCTCAGTCTTGTCAAGGTTGAGCTTGAGGTGATGAGCAGACATCCACTGAGAGATGTCAGCTAGACAAGCAGAGATGCGTGCGACGACCTGGGTCTCTGAGCGGGGAAAGGACAGAATTAATTGGGTGTCGTCAGCGTAGCAGTGGTATGAAAAACCATGCGGGCTAATGACTGATCCGAGCGAGTTTGTGTACAGGGAGAAGAGGAGGGGACCAAGAACAGAGCCCTGAGGGACCCCTGTAGTTAATTGACAAGGGTCGGACTCAGACCCTCTCCAAGTTACCCTGTAGGTACGGTCTTTGAGGTATGAGGTGAGGAGGGAAAGTGCAGAGCCTGAAACTCCAAGTTTTTGGAGAGTGCGAAGGAGGATCTGATGATTCACCGTGTCGAATGCAGCAGACAGGTCCAACAGGATGATGACAGAGGAGAGGGATGCTGTTTTGGCAGTGTGCAGTTCCTCAGTGACAGCAATGAGAGCAGTTTCTGTGGAGTGACCTGCCTTGAAACCAGACTGGTGCGGATCCAGAAGGTTGTTCTGATGGAGATAACAGGAGAGTTGTTTAAAGACAGCGCGTTCAAGTGTTTTAGACAGGAACGGGAGTAGAGAGACAGGCCTGTAGTTTATAACATCTGACGGGTTGAGAGTGGGTTTCTTTAGGAGAGGGTTTACTCTTGCCTCCTTGAGACTGTTTGGAAAGTGACCAGAAGTTAGAGAAGTGTTGATGAAATGGGAGAGAAACGGTAGAATATCAGGAGCGATAGTCTGAAGGAGGTTTGAAGGGATGGGGTCCAGAGGACAGGTGGTAGGGCGGGCAGAGGTAATGAGGGTGAGAACCTCACTTGGAGAGAGAGGGGAAAAGGAGGTTAGTGTGTGGGTCGAAGGAGGGTCTGGTGACCCAGCGGTGAGTAAAGGTAAGTCAGAAAAAGAAGAGCGAATATCATCAACCTTTTTTTCAAAGTGGATAACAAAGTCTCTCGTGATGCTTGCAAAGCCATGCCATGCTCCACAATGCAGTTCGGCTAAGTTTAAAAATCTTCTACGTCACCCCATTCAAATGAATGGGCGAAGCGTTGAAAGCATTTTTCGATGCCTGTAGTGTAGACGGACCGTGAAACGC